GTGTGTGTGTGTGTGTGTGTGAGTGTGCGGACAAGCGGACTAACCCAGATTTCGGGGGCTTCTAGAAATCTTGACCTACACAAAAAGTGGGCATTGCCCTACCTATAGGAGAAGTTTGGTTTCATTGGCGTGTTTATTTGTTGTTTGGTTATAGAGAAAAACTCTCCTTGTCTTTTAAAGAAACTGAACAAGGGGTAAAAAAAACTTTACCTTCGATTTTCTTAAAACAGCCGTTTTCAGGATAGCCCCGTTGTGCTTAAATATAAGCCACCAATTAATTTCTACCTCGATGCCAAATAATGTTGGACCCTAAAAACATACCCAGCGCTCATAATATGACCTTATGCAGTTGCGAGCGCTGTAAAACCTCTACTTAAAACTTTTTAAAAACCCTATTAAAACACTGTACCCGATCTTTTTTCTCCTGTTCAGTACGTTCATTGCGCCTCTGTTCCCGCTCATCTCTCTTTTGTTCAAGTTCATCTCGTCTTTGTTCGCGTTCTCGTTCAGCCTCTTTTTGAGCACGCTCACGTTCCTGTTGCCTTTCTTCACGCTCGCGCTGCTTTCGTTCACGCGCGGCTTGTATTATTTCCAGTTCAGCAGGAGACTGCGTTTGTCTACGTTGGTCTTCTGGGTCTTGACTACGAAGAGCGTCCTGGGTTCGCTGGGGAAATAGAGAAGGGATTGTTGGAAACCAAATTTGAGGCTACTGATAATAATAATTGCATTTATATAGCGCATATCCATGCTCAGGAGCATGCTCTATGCGCTTTACAACTACTATTACCGCCGCAGACCCTCTGAGAACAATCTCGGCTACCGCGGAAGCATACAGCGCAAGCTGCGGATTTCACGCGCTCAAACACTCAAACACTATCAAACTGACAAGATCGTTCCCTGTCTATAGCCGGGAACCCATTTCCACCTGGGTGAAGTGAGGGAAATTTGTGCAAAGTGCCTTTCCCAAGGACACAACGTCGGGTCCCTGACTGGATTCGAACCCAAGACCTTACGGTTGCGAGTCTGAGAGCCTAACCACTAGGTCACCGACGCCACATGTACAGAGAACCTTGTTGAAATATCACACTATCGCGACCCCAGTGCTTTCATCTTGTCGTATCTCCCTTTTGAATAACGGCGAAAACTGTTCATACCAAAGAGTGAGCTTTAGAAGAAGTCACATTTTTACTGATTGAAAAAAAAGGAGATGCGACAAGAAAGCATGTAGGTCGTGCTATACCCAATTAAATGATTATTTTGAATTTGTTCACTATTTAAGGAATTTATTGAATTAATTAATTATGGTGGCACATCACGATTTATACTACAAGTAAAGTTGCAAAGTTGAGCGTTTGTGCCCCCCCCCACCCCCTCCATTTTTTTACTTACATGACCAAAATTGGGTCGATAGTGTCGTAAAACATCTACTCAATCAGCCTACCCCTTTTTTTCCGGTGCAAAATAAAAGAATTTATTTGATGGTCTTTGTCTCTGACCTATAACCTCTTCGATATCTTTGCCATAGACCGAAAGATGTTATATAGCAGCTTTTGGTAAACACAAGCATTAACTTTACAACCCCCCCCCCAAAAAAACACAAAAAATTTTTTTTTTTTAAATCTGACTTGTGGTCAGGAAAATACAAAGACGTCACGATATGGTGGAATCAGGCGCTCGTCAATTTTTGGACAAATTTCCTATCAAACATCTATCGTCCTTATCTTCCCTTCTTCTTTTTTATGTTTGTTACTCTCTTGTAACACCTCTAATCTTCTGGTGCTCATATGACCTTATGCAGTTGCAAGCGCCGTAAAACCCTCTACTAAAACTAAACTAAAAGCTTTTTCAATTTTTGTCTTTCTTTCCTTGAAGAAAATACCCATTTTATCTTCAATAGATGTAGATGTCGAGATATTTGCGATTGAAGAAGGCAGGGGTCATCTGGTTTCAAATGTAAAATTAGCGAGAAAATGGCGTCCGAAGTTTGGTGACTTCCAAAGCTAGAGAGTCCTTGGTTGGAAACTGCAAATTTATATTTTATGCCTTAAATCAAAGTTATTTTTAGTAGAATACACACATCTTCGTGTGTTTACCTGGACATAAAAGATCTTTGGCCAAAAAGTTAAATTCGATAAAATAGCCAAAACGGACAGAAAAATGGTGATCTCTTCAAGCGACTGGTTTCAACCATGATGCGTCACATTTTACAAGCTAATTTTTTTTTTATTCTAAAAGGGCGTCCATTAATTCCCCTTCCAATGAACAGGACAAAATTACATTAACAACGAATCTTTAGGAGCTTAGACTCCTGGAGTCAGCTATCAAGACTGTATCATCTCCGTACCGTAGGTTTGCTATAATAACTGGGAGCGTAATAAAAAACAAGATTACCCCCCGGGGCAGTGCCATTGACTGAAGTGTCTTTAGGTCATTCCCAAGGGGGGGGGGGGCATTTCTCGTTCATGCACTGTAAAATTGTAAATGGGCTGAGTCATCAATG